CATTTTACATTGCTTTTGATAAAAATAAATTTGTGGAAAAATTCAAATCTCCCACATTAATGGGAGAAGGGAGATCAAGTCTCTTTTCCCTATAAATACCCAAGTTTTAGGTTTGGAAAAAATCACTTGAGTTAAACTCTATAAGACATCTCCCTATAGGTGAAAAAACCTTTAAGTTCATAATACTGTAGTCTTTTCTTGGTCTATCCCCGACTACCCTTCGAGGTTGAGGCCGTTCGAGTTGGGTCTCGAGGGTAAACTCCGTCGGTGTTTCTCGCACTTGCGGAGCTAAGGCTTTAATGTTCGAGCTCTATAGGAGCGAAGCACGCGTCGAGGGTAAGAATGCCATTTCCATTTCTCTTTCTTTTGTTGTTTAATTATGTGATTCCATGTTTAGTTTCTTTAATTAGTGGGCGGGTCTTGGGTGGGTTTCTCTTCCGCGTAGCGTTAGACGCTACGAAACCCAACAACGATATCGGAGCCGCGCTCATTTTAATTATTGTAACTAATAATTAATTGAGGTGATTTAATTTAAAATGGACTTAAATCCAGGTTTTTCTTTCTAATTAAATTAGAAGCTCTTTTAAATTAGTTTTAATCTCGTATTTTACTAATTTTGGCCAACGAACCCAGATTTCGACCCAAAAGTAGTGAATTTTGGGTGGAATCGATGTTCTAAATCGTTTTTGTCCCTTTTTTAGAATTGTCGAGAAGTCAAAATCCATCTGGAAACATGTTTTTCAAGGGTTTTTCATTTTTGACGAAAAATTTTAAATCTTTAAACCTTGATTAATTATGGCATGTTAACGGTAGATTAAATGTATGGTTGCATCACTAATCTAATGCAATTATAAACCTTATTAAGCATGTTTATAAAGTTATAATCGGTGCTTAATTTGGTGAGTTCATTTTTCACATAAACTTGAAATTTTCGCATTTTTGCAAATAAATTGCTTCAAGTGTGAATGTTTATGGTGAACTTGTAATTTTGAAGTGCCTAATATGTTAAAGATCCAATCCTTCATTGTTTATTTGGTTGGAACTTTGTGCTAGTTTCCATGTTGAACTAATTTTTGGGTTGATTAAAGTCCAAAAAGTTCAAAACTTGTGATTGAAATTTAAGTAACCTCATATCGGAAGATGTAATTTTTCAATTATACATAAGTTAGTGTTGGAAATTTTTCATTAGATGAATGGGTTTATTTTTCCAACCTCTTTAATTTTTCCAAATCTCATTATTAATTTATGTATGGTAAAATTATTTATGAGTGTAGCCCTTCAATTTTGTAGCATCAAGATGAACCTAAATTGATTTAAAGAATGGTTCTTAAATAATTTAGGCTTGTGCACTACTAATGATGAATTAAATTAAGTTGGACTTCTTTTATTTTCATTTTGCTTTAAATTAGTTCTAAAATAAATTTAAAAATAATTTTTATCACACATAAATCGGGAATTAAAATGCCAAGATAAGTGCACGCAAATCGAGGACAAATTGCCCAAGACACGCTTTGGCTAGTCGGGCTACTCAAGCACCCCACATATGGCTGCCAAGGTGCGTGATGGGGCTGCCTTGCCTCGTAGATGCGCTAGTGTATGGTTTGTGTGTGTGAGTGTAATGCACACCTGGTGCTATGGGTTGTGCGAGAATGATGTGTGTGATGTGTGGCTACTAGAAGATGCCCGCAAGTGCTGCTGGGGCAGCAAGGCATGCGAGCCCCAGGATAGTATATATGGACTGCGATCCGTCATGTATTTTTGTGAATCTAAATACGGTCTTTGAACTGTTGTGTATTTTGTACCGTAATATTTAGATTATTCCTAATCGTAATAGCAGTAGTTGCGTATTTTGGCGGAGATTTCTCGAAGACATTGTTTCTAAGAAGATAAGCCAAGAAGTTGCACTAGAGACCCTTGAAAATTTGAAGACTCAAGGGGTCATGCTAGTTGATAAATGCATCTTATACTTATGATATATATATATTGTGTTTATATATGATTGAATTGTACGATTGATGCATGTTAAGGATTTCAAATGTTGCGATGATTAATTAAGTTCACTTAAATCAACCAACATAGAAACCCTAGGTCCCTATAATATTGAGCCATACTTGCCATTCCAAGAACGACACTTACCGAACTAATGCGTGTGGTGATGGGCTACGCTAAAGCGAGGCATCACCGCTTCCCTAGGAACGTATGGTATACTAGGTATTCATGTTGTCTTGGTTAAGCTTAACGATATCAATAAGGAGTCCTTAGATGTCGTGGCGATGGAGATAAAATGTCAAGGAAGCATTAGATGCGACGTTTTATCGAACCAAGAGTAGCTTGGAGCTATTAGAAATTGGATTTCTTACCTTAAAATATTAAGTGTTAAGACAAGCTAAAGCACGCTTAATCACTTTATGATTATAAGGGTCTTGGAATCGTTGTATTTTCGCCTAAAAAAGACAAATTTTAATGCGTGGATAAGACGTGTAGTAAGATTGAAAGTTTGCATGAATGCTTTGAATTTCAAACTTATTATGTTATTAACTTGATAAATGGTTATAATTTGCACTTATATTCGTAGAACTCTAAATCAAATTATATTGTTTCCAATGATTGGTAAAAGAAATATTTTGAGAATGGTTCTCAAGGAAAAGGCATTTCTAAAATACAACTTCTCATAATTAACTTTTATAACTAAAGTCCGAAAGGACGGTTCGATATCATGTATTTAAAATACTAGGTAGTTTTGATGAACATGAAATATTTAGTTGAAAACTCAAATTGCCAATAGTTGACAACCAACATATCTTTTCGCTTTATACACTAATGAGTAGGACTCATTGATGTAGTAATTCAAGCTAAGTTAAAACTCAAAAGATGGAACTTTGTTTCACGGCGCATTAGATGCTTAATTATGCCTAACAAAGTGTAAAAGTCAAGTCACTTACAGAAATGGTTCTTAAAGTTATGAGATGGTGTATGATAAGAAATATAAGAAACAAGGAACAAAGGAGAGGAATAAGATTCTTTTTCTACCCATGAGTTCATGTTATTGTGGTCAACTTAACAATTCGTTATCTTAACAAGTATTGGATACTGCTTGAGTGTTCCACTTTAGAAGTGACCTAAAACCATTGAAGTCAAGCTAAGTTATTGACTTACAAGCTTAGAATGAAACAAGTAGTGCTACATCAGTTGTAAGGTCATTTGTTTTGTTTAAAGTCATTTTAAGCCAAGGCTGGAACGAATAATTGTTATTATGTTCCATTATCAGCAAACAATCCATTTACACACGGAAAGAGTCACATTCGAAGTAAAAGAGCAATAGTTGCGGGTTTTATTTGAATGGCATGGTTGTCTAAGGCATAAGTCGAGAATGCTAGATTATAAACAAACATATCCTTAACATGAAAATTCACAAGGTTCAAGTTATGGACATGATTTGTGTTCCAAACATCTTTAGCAACGTCACATTGACAAGGACGAACTCAAGGCTCTATTAGGTAGACTCTTGATAGTTGATTGATTCGAAATCGTTCTAAAGCAAGCAAGTCTTACTTGCTGAAATCGACAAAGAAAGGAGCTATTGTGCTTGGCATAAACACTTGACTCCAAAAGATAAAGAGAATTTTATTACTTCAATGTTTCACATGAAATCAAAAGAATATGGATATATTCATCAAATGTGAACAAACTGGACCTTGAGTAGCTACTCTGTTCAGTGAAGTATAAAATCAACTTGGAAAGATATCAAAACGTCTAGATAAGATCAAGCGATGTTTGCTTGAGCCAAGAGTGATCATATCAAAGTTATGAAATTGAAATTTCATTATGAGCTCCACAAAGAATATAGTATGTCTTGACGGAGACCTCGATGCCATTTTGAAACGACTCGAATGATGATGGATCACATCCCTTCCTATAAAGTTCTTAAAGATTTTCACAAATGACTAGTGTTACACTAAACAAAAATTGTCGAAGCTAAGAAAGGACACCATATTCAGTTATGGATAGAAACAGTTTCTACTGTCTTTTCAGGTATATGTCTAGGGCTATTAGCTTAGTGGGAGTTCATTGGCTCAGTGGGAGCTAAGTGGCTCAATAAGGGGTATGGTAGCTCGAGAAGGAGTTAACTGTTTGTTTCACAACGAACTTTTACCCAAAGACAGTATACATGTCTCTATGTAAATATTCAAGTGAGACTACGGGCACTACTTCCACAACCTAATTGAGAACATAGTACTTGTTGCTCTAAATGGTGTCTTTTTGGAAAGTAACACATTTCCAAAACGACAAGTGGGAGGAAAATGAACTCGATGACCATCGAGATTAGAAAAAAACTTAAACTGAGAATCTCCGAATACTTTAGAAGGGCTTAATGAGAATGATTGATCAAGAATACTCAAAGGACTTCACAAATGCCTTGAATGAGAATTCAATCCTCACAAAACTTTAGAAGTGGTGGAGTAAGATCAATATAATCAAAGGGCTTTAAAAGCACCATGAAACTCAGTGTTTGATGCAATAACCCCGTATAGGTATAGAGCTCACCAAAGGCTTGGATTGAATCTTATAAATTTCTATTAAGTTAGAAATAAACCTACACTATTACATTTTTAATCTAATCCAACGACAAATTTCGTTGTATTAGGTGTTAAAAACCGTTGTATAAGACCTAATCCAACGCCTGTATACCGTTACATTAGCTGGCATTGTATTAGGCCTAATACAACAACTTATTGCATCTAATACAACGGCAACCAATATGCCGTTGGATTAGGTACATGCCGTTGTATTAGCTTGATACCTAATACAACGGTATATGTCACATAATACAACGGTATATGTCACCTAATACAACGATATATTTTCACCTAATTCAACGGTCGTACATTAAATATACTACGTATTATAATTTTTTTTAGGGAATACATATATATTTTGTTAGTTATTTTAAATTTAAAAGGTATCAATAAATATAAAATATATCAACATATATATAAAAATAAACGAAGTGTATATAATATGTACGTTACATTACAAAATATTGTTTCCATATATATGTTACACTACCAATACTAACTAATAATAAATAATAAAAGTTTACTAATTAAAAATCGTCCAAAATACAAATCCTAATCTTCACAAGCTCGAACTAAAAAAAATTAGTCACCGACGTGTACGCTCCATTTATTGGATGACAATATATAATCATTGTACTTCATTCATCTCCATCTAGCTCGCCATGCACCTATATGTAAAAATAAAAGAAATTAATACTTGAATATAACGATACAAATAAGGCACTGTAAATATCATGTTGTCATTAAGAAGCATAGCTGGATACAGATAACAGACATGCAACACCAAATTTCACCCACACCTTGATAAAGTATTACGGCCATTTGTTTGGTGATTCAATCAATTTTGTTTATATAGGTCATTGGTAACAAATTGAAACTCTAATTAAGAGGAAATTTAATAGCCTAAATGCAATTAACATTAACCAATTAACCCATTGGCATCAACAAACCGAAATGCTGACAAGGGAAAAAGAGAAAACACTAGGCAAAAAGACGTAATTTGCACCGGTTCAAACCCCCCATTTAGCACCGGTTTTGAATCGGTTCTTATTTAGGGGGTGCTAAAACCAACACAGACAGGACTGTAGCAGAAACAGCAGCTCACAGCAACACAGACAAGAAAACCAACCCTGCAGTAATCAAGATAAAAGAACCAGTATCTAATAGCTGAACGGGACAACCAGCTGAGTAGACACAGCCTCACAGCTAACACCAACAGAACAGAAACAACTACACAAGTAGTCAAGGCAGCTAAGGTAATACTTTTCTGGATCAACACTTAACTATGTCTCTGCTAATGCTTCTAAGATCTGTCAAGTCTAAAATACCTCTCATTGATGCCTAGCCATGAACCAAAAGCCTTAATAAAGATTCTACTATAGGAACAATCAAAGAATAAATGCTCATGAGTCTCATTTGCCTCACCACAAAGCAGACAACTTGCATCGTCACAGCATTCCAGAGAAACAAGCCTATCTCTTGTTCTAAGCCTTCCTTGAACAGCCAGCCAAGAGATGAAAGAGTGTGCTTTTAACAGAGAAACAATCCTTATCTGCATTTCGGCATCAACGATCGTTTTAGCTATTAACAATCAACAGACACAGGCTTTAACTCTGAACAATTCAAAATTGTTCATTCAAATACGAACAGAGGGAATAGAACAATTATAAAAAAGATAATGTTCCCTAACTGTTTCCGATCCTTTATATCATCTGATATGATTAATCTGAATGTGGTCAACTAAAAGCATTCCACAACAAACCATTATTGTAATATTCTACTTGTATAATACATTGATCAAATGTGTGAAGCTAAATCTAAGAAAGTTGACACTAACTGGACTATTTATATCACGAACTTTCTTCTACAGGGTAGGTAAGGAATTGCACTCCCTACATCTTTGAGTGCCATTTACATCCAGCAAAATTCTGTTATTTCTAATAAACTATTGCTTTTAAACTAAAACTTTGATTTTAACCAAGTTTTTATTTTTATATTTAAAACCAGTTATACTTCATATACTAGCACTAATAATACATGTAAATAGATATAGAAGAAGATGTCTAATACCTGCATCTTAAGGTAGTTATCACATTAGGTCGTATAGATCATCTCATCAATGTGAATAAAATCCAAAATGAAATAGTAGCTCTTATTATTAGCAAATGATCAAGTGAAGTACCCTAAAATGATTAAAACTAAGCTAGCAAGCATCCACACTAAGCACAATAATTGACGTGTTAAAGTTCTACCAGACAAAAAAATCATTTACTTTGACTTTGTTCCCTTTCAATTGTAAAACTAGCAATCATTAACCTACGCAAATGCATGGGTCATGAATCATTTACTTCCCTTGATAACATAGGGTAGAATCAATTGACTCATAAGGCAGAAAAAAAAAAACAGCCTTGCTCCTGAATACAACCAATTTTTCATACTTCACAAAACATACGGTATTTTTATATATTCAAGCAATAGATAATACTACTTTCAAGCAATGGCTAAGCCTTTTTCCTGCAACTTTTCCTTCTTTACATCACTGATCTTCTTACCAATAGTACCCATGGCTGCACAGAGAAGTACTATAACCATTGACGAATCTCTCTCAGCCACCATCAATGACTCTCCATGGCTTTCACCTTCGGGTGGTTTTGCATTCGGCTTTCATCAATTACCCAACAACAGCAGTCTCTTCCTTCTTGCCATTTGGTATGCAAAGATTCCCGACACAATAGTCTGGTATGCAAATGATGGTAACCCTGTTTAGGAAAGGTCAAAAGTAACATCAACAACTAAAACAATGCAGATGTCAAACCCCTTTTGAACACTCAGCGAAACCTAAAGCCTGCAATTGACATTTCAGAGAAAGTACACATGTCACCTTCTCATTTCCAGGGATCCCAAGGCCAATGCCCACACCTGAGAAAACAAACAAAAACAGGAAAAAGGAAAATAAAAAATAAAAAAATAGATTTAACAGACTTATTAACTCCTAACAACCAATAGTAATGAAGGCTAACTTAAATAAAAAAAGCCTCTAATTGTATCATATAGATGCTATATCATCATATCAGCAAAGCGTAATCTTGCTATAGTGCTTTTCTTGTCACATAGTTGTACATGATTGTACAAATGTACACCCAATCAATATCACGGAACTCTTCATTTCACCTCAAGTATCCCTTACTGGAATTCTAGTACATCAACACGGGTACGAACAACCACAATAAAAAAAAAAAAAAAAAAGGAAGCGTCTTGCCTGTGCACTATGCCTTGAGCATTTATACAAATTATGAACAACTATGTCCCTAGGGCACTTCAACTTAAGTCACGAAACAATTAAAAACAAAAATTAATGATCAAACCCACTATCTATATACGAATAAATGTAGCTATAAAACTCAAATACACAAATTTGAGGATTAGTACACATCCAAGTATCTCACATGCTAAGCTTATAAAATTTAATTACCATGAAGAACTAAGTAAACACAACACTAGTTAAACACAATAATCAACCATGCATAGTTGCATACACCATTCTCAATTAATCTGCTTGCAAACAATAGATTCAATATATATTCTACATAAATTATCCTGTTTCCAATTTTCCAGTGGATTTTATACTTGAATTCCTTCAAAATTTTCAATTCTCAAGCTCAAATCTAAATAATTCCATATAATTCAATTCACAAAATTAATAAGAAATCCAACAAAATGTCCGAACGTCCTAGTAGTCCAGAAAATGTAGCTGAGCTAGCAGATAAAGCTACAGCAGCAAGCTTAGAGCAGCAACGATGGGGGTTCGTTGATGACTTAAACTAGAAGGAGAAGGAGAAGAACCCTAACAATATAATACGAAAAATCACACCTTCAGTATGATTTTAACACCAGAAAACCACCACCAAAACTCCACAAAACCACTCTGATTACACCACAAAACCACCTCAAAAACACCACAATACCAACCCGAAAACACCACAAAACAACCCGAAAATCCCCTAGCCACCCCGAAAACTAGTTTAATTGAGCCGAAAAACCGACCCACCCCTAAATTCCTCATCAGATTTCAGACTAATCAAATTTTAACACAAACCCAGATAAATTAAAACAAATTTAGGTATACCTTAAACAGAGTTTCGAGCAATCAGCGAAATGCAAGATCAATATTCGCAGTTACAGCGCTCCAGCAACCTTCCACCACCTGAAGTTCCGCTGCTCCAACAGTCAGCCTCCGTCACCGCCTTAACCACCTTCGTCTACTTCCTCTCTTTTAGTGAAACATGGAGATTTTATGAATATGGGAAGATTTTGTGAACATTCAGCCTCGCGACCCTTTCTTTCACTTTGAATTTGGGAAAATTAGGGAGAAATTAAAGAACTATTTTCTGTCTACCTTCCTTAGCTTAGGTATGAGAATGAAGAACAAATTAAACCGTGTGCATATTTGGGGAAAAAGCTAAGAGGAGGGAAGTTAAAATAAAATAACTTTTATTTTGGCTCGGGTAAAAAAAAAAAAAAAAGCCCTTGGATTAGCTTAAGTGACCGTTACATACTTACATTAGGCAACAAAGCCGTCGGATTAGCCTAACTTATGCAACGGTTTTTTAAAACCGTTGTATTAGCCTACTTTATTAAGAAATGAAGTATAAGCCGTTGTATTAGCCATGTCTAATACAACGGTCTAATACAACGGTAACCAAATGGTCGTTGTATTAGCTCCTTTTTAACCATTGCATTAGATAAAAAATGTAGTAGTGCTAAGACTTACAAGCATACTATTTACCATTGGATGGTGAGGGAATAGTGTCTTATAAAATAGCTACGACAAATCCAAATTCAGAATAATGGTTAGAGACCATAAAATCCGAAATAGACTCCATGTATGTAAATCATGTTTGGATCTTGATTCATTTGCATAAAAGGGTGAATGACCCATCAATCGCAAATGAGTTTTCAAGGAGAAAACTGACAAATGTAAATGCATAATGCATACATAGCTAGATTGGTTGAAAAGAATACAATTAAATCACGACGTTGATTTTAATAAAAACCTATTCACCAATCGGAACGCTTAAGTCTTTCCATGATAATTCTAGCAAAATTGCGCATATGAAATATGGCAAAATAGATAACGAAATTGCCTTCCTAAAATTGGATTTTGGAAGAGACTATGAAAATAGTCTAAGGGTTTTGTAATTCTTAATAAGGCTAGATTTGAAAGCAAGCACAAGAAATCGATTGTGGGATTAAGTGAAGCATTGCATGTAGGAATTGGAACAAGTATTCTCATAAAGTTAATAAAAGGTTTGGCTTATGGAGAATCACAAAAATTCTTATGAGTAAGAAGTTTAGTGCGAGCAAGAGTCAATCTAGTATGTTCCAACAAGAAGTTTATGAACTCTATTATGAAAGGATTGTCAAATGCTAAATGCTTAGATTTGAAAGGATTTTCAACAATGGACCAAGAAAAAAGGCGATACTTAGTACGTACTGGGAATTAAGATCTATTGGATAGACTTAATGAAATGTTTAAACGAGTAAAGGAATTTACCGTGTTAAACATAAAGGACATGGAAAGGCTTTCGACCCATATGTATAAAACTAAGTAAATGTTTGAACTAAGTATAAGCTGGGCAAATACTAAGTCAAATAAGAAAGACTCTAGTAGAGATTTTCAACCGTATCACATAGCAAACTGTTCAGCAAGACTCGGTGAAACTAGATGAGCTAAAAGGTCACATGAATGGAATAATATTGGGAATAATTCTACAATTGAAACCATCAAGTATGCTATGATATGGAATCGTCACTGAACTTACATGCTTAGAGCATGAGAAGTATAAAATACCAATCAATTTAAAATCTAAGTGATAGATCGTTAGATTATGATTAGTTTGATAAGTAAAGGGGTTAAGTTCTTGACGCATGGAAACAAACGTAATTTGAGAATTGATGTTCCAAGCACATACTTAGCAAGGATTAGATCCTTAATAAGGAAGTCGTTTATAAGCACGAGGTAGAATGCGTCGTGGCTTGAGAATGGCAACATGGACGCGCATCCATGTATAATGTGTAGAAATTTAAGGTAAATTTCTATAATCACAAGTGATTAGGGTCTCTCAAATCATTGTGAGCCGTTTGGAAAGAAATCCAAGCAAAGCACCATCAGGAAGTCTACTGAAATATATGTTGAGAGCATTGTTCCCTTAAAGGCGATAATAAGAAAGTTGTTTAATGGATAGTTCGTTGCCGAATGTTGATGATTGTAGGTTGTCAAGTTGAAAGATCTAAAGTCATGAAAATGAGTGGGAGCCATCAGTTAAACAGTAAATCCTAAATCACATATGATGAATAACTCACTCAAATTTTATAATCTTATTATGAAAGTGTTCGATAATGAAGATGCTAAAGATTTGCAAAGTAATCATATCTAAAACTATGCAATAAGTGAATGACAACATTCACCAGAATTGCATGAAAAAAAACAAACATATTAAATATAGGTGTGATTTCTATAAATGTTTTGTGAAGAGTGTTACTCATGAAACATTTGGGGAAAACCATTTATCATAGGATGAAACGTTGAAAAGTTTCATGGTGGAATAAAATTTTACTAATAAAATTCCGCCAACTATTTAATTGTGGTTTAGAATTAAATAATGAGTCTGTTTGATTTATGAGAATTTTTAAAACAAGGTATCAAGACAATGTCTTAGATAAAGAAACACCTGTTAAGTGAACAGTGAATATGTAAATCGAAAATTATCCCTAATCAAGGACATTTAATGATTGACGATTAATGACCACTTGATATTAGTGTGTAGTATGATTTATAGCACCGTTTCTTGTGCTACGAGGACATGATAGTCATAAATCATTTGCACAGGTACTAGTTTGGAACTGTACCGGATCGACCTATGAGAGTACTTTAAGAGATTTAAATTCGTCATAAGTACATTTCTCATTATAGCGGAACCTCTTTCCTCAACCATGAGTATTGTAGGTTCTTTTGTTTGAGTACTGGTGGTTTTGATGTTGTCAAACATTTGATGTAAAAGGGGATTATAACATCAACACTCGGGCGGCTAAGTCCTCCCTGTAAGGGAAGCTTACAGTACAAGACTGGGAATGTCCCCCTATTAACATTAGGGAATATGTCTTTGTTGTTTACAAGGCCTCTCGAAGAGCGAGACTGTGAAAATGCATGGCCGTGGTCAGATGGATTTTTAGAAATCATCTGCTCATTGACAGTCGAACTCAGGAATCGAGAAACACTTCTGGACATAATAAAGATAACGAAGAATCATAGCTTATAGTTCATGAAGAGACATTAAGTGACATAGGAAATGGGCTACACACCAATTGCAAGGAATGGTGTCCTTCCAACAAGTGTATTATTCCGATAGAGGGTTCAAAATTATTAAAAAGCTAATTCTACAATGAGGTCAAGTGATCGGAATGCCTAGGTAGAGGCCGCTTCCGATCAGTAATATTAATGTGTAATTAATATTACAGCTTAATCTTGATTGAACCCTTCGGGTAACACCCAATCTAGTAACCGATTCGAGACAACGAATCAATACGACGGATTAGATGAGTCATTAGAGTATTACAAACAAAGACATCGAACATCGAGCTTAGAGCGTCGAAACCGAGCGTCCTAAGTCGAGTAGAATTCAGGATTCGACGAGACGAAAAATCAAGCAAGCGACAAGTTAGAATTAAGTCGTAGCTGCGCCAAGTAGCATCACGCACCACGGAGCAGCATCGCATGCGTGTTCGCGTGTGGTGCGTGTTTGCTGGCTGGGCTGCCTAGCGCCAGCTGGTAGCCTTCGCAGCCAAGGCAAGCTGCCAGCGAACCAAGTGGCGTGGTGATGTCGGTTTTATGTGGGGACCAATTTCATGGGCTTGCTTGGTGAGCAAGGGGATTTTGTCACCCCCCTTGAATGGTCCTCACCTACTTTTCCTCTTCATATTCTACTTTGAGCTTGTTGATTGCTTTACATTATAATTTGTTTTTAATAAAAATAAATTGGTGGAAAAATGCAAATCTCCCACATTGATGGGGGAAGGGAGTTCAAGTCTCCTTTCCCTATAAATACCCAAGTTTAGGGTTTGGGAAAAATCACCTTAGTTGAACTCAATAAGACATTTCCTTATAGGTGAAAAAACATTTAAGTTCGTAATACTCTAGTCTTTTCTTTGTCTAGCCCCGATTAACCTTCGGGGTTGAGGCCGTTCGGGTCAGATCTCGAGGGTGGTCTCCGTCGGGGACTCTCGAACTTACGGAGCTAAGGCTTTGAAGTCTGAACTCTATAGGAGTGAAGCACGCGTCGAAAGGTAAGAATGTCATTTCCCTTTCTCTTTCTTTTGTTGTTTAATTATGTGATTGCATGTTTAGTTTCTGTAATTAGTGGGCGGGTCTTGGGCGGGTTTCTCTTCCGTGTAGCGTTGGACGCTACGAATCCCAACATCAGGGAGCTTAGGTTGGATTTTAATTACCACTAAAGCCAAAAACATTTTTTTAGGTACCTATATTTTAAAGCTTAGTGAAGTGCTTATTAATTAAGTTTGAAAATACTTTGTTTTTAGAGGGTCTAATATTTTTGTAAGGGGCCCGAATTTACTTTTTTTTAAGAGGGCCGAATATATTATTTTTTATTATTTAATTGGTGAGAAATTTTTTTTAAAAAAAAATAGTAAGGGCTGAACTTTATTTTTTTTAATAATTTCTAGCAACTAATTGTCGAAAATAAGTTTCAATTTTAAATTTTTTTTATTATGTGTGAAGGTATGTGAAGGAATTAAGGTTTGTAACTATGTGTTAATCGCTATTGAAAGCATGTGGTGAGATTGGAAAGAGTGAAAGGAATGGTGTCCTTCGAACAAGTGTATTATTATGATAGAGGGTTCAAAACTAATTAGGAAAGCTAATTATTTAGTGAGGTCAAGTGATCAGAATGCCTAGCTAGAGGACGCTTCCGATCAGTGATAATTAATGTATAATTAATAATATAGCTTGCTTTTGACTGAACCCTTCGAGTCACACCTAATCGTGTAACTGAACAAAGGCGACGAATTAATCCGAAGGATTAAATAAGTCGATAGAGATTATACGAACTAAGATGTCGGGTTCCGATCTTAGAGCGTTGAAGCCGAGTGTCGAACGTTGAGTCGTTTTGAGGAATCAACGAGACGAGAAAATAATTCAAAAGACAAGTCATCAGACCTAACCTCGGATTGGCCTAGCAAACTAAGGACTAGGCCACATTAGCTAGCATGGCTGCTAGCCATAGACTAGCCTCGACAACAAGGCCTTGCAAGCATGGATGTGTTGGGCGAGCTAGCAAGGCTAGCATCAGCCAGCAAGCATGCGAGTAGGCCAATGCTAGCAGCGTTAGTACCAGCCCACAAGCACACGAGTAGGCCTAGCAGCAGCCCGCTCCCTCGCGTGGGCTTGCAGCTTGCTAGCAAGCCGAGCTGAGGGCAAGGCCGCCAGCTAGGCAA